GGGCTCGCGCCGGGGGCGGGGCCAGGGCGGGATCCCGCGCGAGGATTCGTACGGCTGTGTCCCTGAGTGCCGCGCTGAGGGTCCCTCCCACAGAGCGCCTGCCTGGCGAGCGGCTCCGGGGAAACAGAAAGGCCCCGAAAAACACCGGCACGCATTCTCTGCGATTTGCCTGCCTTCCTGTGAACTAAGCTGCGCTAGTCTCTAAATGTTTGCAAGATAAAAGTCCTTAATGAAGCACTTCAAAACAGGGATGTGGGGGCAGGTGAGGTAAAAGGCGTAAGAAAAATGTTTTTCTGTCGAGTTCCTTGACTGCACGGGTCCAGTAGAGTTTCATACATAAGAATTGGACAACCACCTTGTAAAACTGACTATCATTCCTTAATAAAAACAATCCTCACAAGCCGATCACAAACGACTGCAGCACAACCTCTCTCGAGTAATCATTTAGTGGTAAATAAAATAATGCCTAAGAAAAGGCTTCATAATGCAATTCCCTTTTTCTCTGTCAGATAGAATTCATTTTTCTCTGTCAGGTAGTATTAATGCTCTGTTGTATGAGAAAGAATAAAGAACAAAGAATGCATCCAGGAGAGCAAGAACTGGATTTAATGAAGTAAGAAGCCTAGTTGCTGAACAGTATAGCATTCACATGCAGAATTAATTGTTTTTATTTCTTCCAGAGGTAAGCAAAGTATGCCATTTTAGTAAATAAAGGAAATGGGACAAGGAGGAAAAAAAATCAATGCAGACACAATCTTCAGGCATATCTTTTCTTTAAATAAATTTCCAGTTTTATTAGCATGTAAGTGCTTTCAGCAAATTGCTATAAAAATACTGTCTTGCTGGAAAGTGATGCTGGCTTCTGTCAGTCATGTCTTCTGTGGACATGCAATAAATCTGACCAGCATGTTAATTATTCTTTCAGGCTGAATAGAAGAAGTGGGTGAAACGGAGTTCGGGTTAAGGTTGCCAGAGACAGTGGAAATCAGTGCTCATCAGCACAAGCTGCTTGCAAATAGGTTAAGGCTTTTCTGGGTAACTGCTGCCAAATGTATCTGCTGAGACACACGGCTGTGTGGAGGGCTGTCTTCAAAAACCTTCCTGTTTTTACAGCTTTTTACTGTTTTCAACAAAAACTGGTTCTATGCACATTCTTTATAAATACTCAGGATTGCACTGAAGAATGTGCCTGACTTGTGCTTTTCAGTTCTTCTTTGCCTGGAAATGATCCATATACTGATACACCTGATTTGTTAAAAGAGTACTTTATGCATAGGTGATTTTTCATCAATCCTAAATGTGTTACTACAGCAAACACTGTAGTGGAAATAGAGGCTATCTTCAAGTGAGGAAGAGAACTGAAGCTTTGAAAAGGGCTGCACGAGTGACATCTGGTATGAAGTCCGTGTGCTGAATGCACCTGACAGCGCTACTGTGAGCACTGTTTTTCTAGCAGAGAGCACACCAAAGCAAGACACTGACTGAAGTTCAGTTCTGGTTGGCTGTTTCTCAAAGAATCCTCTCCTGTGGTGCAGAGTTAAATATATTTCCAATTAGACTTCTGCAAGTAACTACAGTATTCCATCATTTCTATCTTCCTCTCTGGTATGGAACCTGTGATTACTGATTTTGTTGTATGAGAAGTCCCATACTTTCCAAAGCTTTAGTCACCTGTATTAAATAAAAAGCCAGTCTGGCTGAGAACAGAAAATTCTTTCAGAGCTACCTGAAGTATCACATTTCACTGTAATCTCATACATGACTTTGTAAAATCTGTAGGTTTAACTATCTGTTATTTTAATGGTGTTAATTTCATTTGGGAAGTGTTTATTTTGTTTCAGAGAATTTGAGAAGAGAATTGCTCTTTTCCCTTCAATTTATTTTGCTTCCCCTTTTTACACAGCTTCCTAAAAACACTTTGTGCAGACCTGTGTTATGTGTTGCTAATTACATCTGCATGAGAAATGCCTTTCAAGATATATATTTCATGAAGATACTACAATACTCTGTATGTTATTAAACCAAAGCAAATTATGCTACTGTATCCATTGCCATGACCTTTGATCATGCCTGGTAAGACTACTCAAGTGTTTTATTTCATTGGTGGTGTCATCTCTAAAAGTGAAAATAATGTTGTTCTTTCAGCTTGCATTATTAGATCCTGCAAAAATACTAAATGTGTTAATGCCACTGTGAACTCAAGTGGATGCAGTAGCTGTCAGCAGAGATACTTCAGTTGGTCAAACCTACAACAGCATAAACAGCACCTTCCAAGCTGTAGACAACATATAAGTAATTTCTGGGACAATTATGTCTTGAATATTATAAGGGTAGCAGTTGTTGATTTGAAGATGTTAGTCTTTTCCTCCATTTTTTCCTTTGGAGAATGTTTCTGAGCATAATTTGATATACTTGCAGAAAAATGTTCTGAATTTATTTGATTTGCTTGGAAGATAATCATATTACAAAATCTCAGCCAAATAATGTACAGTTCTATAAGATCAATGTCCACATGAGTACAAAATGTCATAAAAAAAAGCTCCAAAGAAATCAGAACAGAGAAAAAACCCCAACCCAAAAATAACAACAAAAACCCACTTAAAATTAAGTCAATTATGTTGTCAAAAAGAATGATTCAGGTTCAGAAGACAAAGAATAAAGGTGAAGAGCAAAGCATGTGGAGAAGAGAAGAGAAGAGAAGAGAAGAGAAGAGAAGAGAAGAGAAGAGAAGAGAAGAGAAGAGAAGAGAAGAGAAGAAGAGAAGAGAAGAGAAGAGAAGAGAAGAGAAGAGAAGAGAAGGAGAAGAGAAGGAGAAGAGAAGGAGAAGAAAAGGAGAAAGAAAAGAAACAAATAATTTGTAAAGAATCTTGACCTGGAGGGACTTTTCTGAATGTGTTTTACCCACTCACACACTGCTGAGAGACTCCATGTACCCACAGGGACGTACTTGACAGGTTCAATAATGTCCTTGAAGGCTTTGTGCAGCATGAAATTATTTTCTGATTTATAGAAATAAGTAAAACATAGAATCTGTTTTCTTCCTAAGAAACAATGCCAACAAGGAACAATGTTATTTTTCTTGTAAAGAAAAAGAGTATTATTTTCTAGAAGTTCAATTCTCCATGTTGAAGCGGAATTGTCTGCAAATGTCATTCCCTCTCAGGATAAGCAGCTCAGAATTCTTTGCTACTTTGTGTTACAGTTTTCATACACCCACGTGGATGTATGGCAGTGCTGAATATCATCCCCATGCAATCATGACAGATCCCTTTCTGGACAAGCAGCATCATGGATGCATGCTGAGGACAGCAAGCATGCTGCTCTACCATTCACTGACCCCTTGCTATTGGTGTTTCCACTTTCAGGAGCAAAGGCAATGCTCCAACTCCAAATGAGAAGCCCTAACCCTCTAAGAGAGGGTAAACCAATGGCTTATAATATGCCAGAGTTACAAAAGACAAAGCTTCCCTTCTGCAGAAGTCTGTTTACTAGATGTATTCTATAACAGTATTAAGAATGAAAACATTTAGGGGAAAAAAAAAAAAAAAGGGCACAGAAATGTTCATTTTAAACATGATGCTGGCTGACCAGGGAAATTCCAGAGGGGAGCAGAACTGGTTAAAATTTAAGAAGTGAAAATGGGACCCGTACAATCATAAACTACCTAGAATAATACCTGTAATTGGCAAACCTTGTTTAAACAGTCATGCCAAAGTTTTCAAACACAGAAGCAGGCAGGTTCAAGAACAGACCCACAGGACTGTATTCACTTCTTGGGATGTATAAAGAATGGAATGGAATTTTGCACCACAGTAACTTGCTGCTGTGTGGTACAGCAGGAGATGGGACATCAGTGGCACAGCTGGCTTCCTCAGACTCTGCTGTGCGTGAGAGAGAGGTGCAAGCAGATCCCCGGCGAGATCTTGCAGTGTGCTGACTGTGGGCCACAGCTGTAATAGTAAAAGAGAAGTTTTCATTTACTGGCTGATAAGCCAGTAGATTTTCCAAGAGCTTCTGTAAAGGAATGGGAATGTAGAAAGGAAGCATGGGTGCCAAAAGGATTCCTCAGGGACATCCTAAAACCTACCAGATTCAGTGTTAGTGAGCTTCAGCTAAGCAGTGAGGAGAGGATAGAAATGAGGCGCTGTGAGCAAAACGGGCCTGTTTTGAATAATGGAAAGTTTACTTAATCACCTCTGCATCTTCACCCAAATCACCATCTGTGTGACAGCAACCAGCCTGTCCACACACCTACTCTTTGGCAATGGAAATTGCCTATTGCACACAGGCTTGCACAGCCTTCTGTACACACGCAAGCCCTGATACACCCATCTTCACCATGCCAGTCACACCTTCAGCTGTGGGGAGGAGCAGATGGTGACACAAAGAAAACTAATGACACAAAAGACAGACTAATAATTAAATGAAGCATTTAAATGTTATGTGTGCCAGTCAACAAAATCTAATGGAAAAATAGGTCTCATCAGAGAAACCTAAGATGACATTACAGTCTGGCTGTTCAAAGGTAAGGTCATAGCTGTATTAATTTTTTCAGGAGCTTGACTTAGTAACCACATGCTATCAATCAGAAAAAAATTACTTTTTGATGCAATGAAGGATAAATTCATTGCATCAAGACCTGGATGAGCAGTTAAGAGTAATTACTGGTGTGACAGTTTTCTTTGAAAACTGATGTTTCCTTTAGGGTTGTTTGGGTTTCCTAAATGGCCTGTAAAGTAAATATAAAATCAATGCTAATCAAACTTGAAGTGACATGGCACTGTCAGTGTGATAAACAGCAACAAGAATGGGATATCCAGCAAAAAACGTACAAAAAGCTGTCATCTGAAAATGAAAAGAAGAAACATTACAAGGAATACCAAAGTGTTACCTCTTAGTCAATGTAACAAATTAGAGTGTCAAAACCTAGCAGGTATCTAAGTATATGACTGTAGCAAAAGGGCAGAGGATATTCCTGGATATGAAAGGAAATAATGAAGAAGTTTTGTATCTCAGTGCATGGCACTGATAAAACTTGTACTGGAATTTGGCACACAGTTTAAAAATAGGGCAGAGAGCAGGAAAGGGCTCACTTTGGTCAGCTCATCAGTGCTGTAGCAGGAATAGGCACAAGGAAAGAACTAATAGCAGGGATTGAAAGCCAGACACATTCAGATTCAAACTGAAACACAAGTTTTTAAAACTATGACAAATTACCAAGTGAAGCAAATAATTCCTTATTTTCTGGCAGCTTTGCGTGAGGGGTGTTGGGTAGCCTGATCACATGAGTTTGGCCAGATACAGATTCTATCTCAGGGAGTCCCCAGGCCTGCTTCACAGGAGATTGACAGCTCTCACATCTAATAATAATTTTAAATAATTTATTTTTTTGATATTGTATTCATCATATTCACTGCTGAAAAAAGACAGTCAGAATTATCCATGGCCCAAATGAGAACCACATGTCACTAAAATGTAGAGCCTTCAACTAAGACTTCTAACCTAAAGGTAAATTCTGCATTAAACTCTCATATATATGAGGATACCTTAGCACTCCTCAGAATCTTTAATGTAGAAGTGGAGCTCAGACTTCTGCAACTTTCAGCCCTAGCTGTCAGTTTTTGTGGGTTTACATTTTACTTTTCCATAAACCTGGATGGCAAGGAAGACATTATAGGTTCCAGAGGACATCAAATAGCAGTTTTATATGACTATTTGCACTAGCAAAGAAAAATAATTGTACAAAACAGATCAGTCCTGTGTCATACACAGAACAGTAAACACTGACTTTGTATTTGCTGCTATGAAAAGAGTCGTTGTTCTGTGGTTCCTCTTACAGTCAGGATCAGAGGGGAGCTGCAGACTGCAGTCCAGGAGTTGGGGTGGTAAAACAGAGAAAGAGATAGAGAAAACTGAAATTAAACCCAACCTGCTTTCTTCAAATAATGGCAGAAAAAAACACAAGAGGATATTTAATAATTGTAAAAGACCTTTAATGACTACAATTGCAAAGAATGAGGGACAAAAAACCCAAAATGGCATATGTGCAGGAGTTATTTTTGGACTTGCAGACTCCATGACATGGGCACAGATTGATACATATGAATCCATTGTTTTTGCCACTGGGGAAAAAACCCAAAATATATTATAAAAAACTATCTTCATTACAGATAGGAAAGAAAAAGGTATGGCATGTAAGTTTAACATCAAGACTACATTCTTATTTCAGGTGAGTTCTGTGTCCAAGCAAAACATTTGTTAATCTACTCCAAACCAAACCTATTTGAATGTAAGTGGTGTATTACTCAAATCTGCAGGCAAACAATGTGAGAATATTTTTGTTCATTTAACTTCAAACTCTAAAGAACAATAAATTACATTACACTTCCTTTTTGTCTTGTGATAAGGGCTTTTTACGGTTTGGTTAATCGTAGATGCTTTTTTTTCCTGGTATAGCTTTACACAAGCTAAATCCACCACAGAGCTCCTTGAGTAGACACCACCAAATGCAATGTCAGATCCTGACACCCACATCTTTGTTTTCTTATGGCACCTGCCAAAAGACAGAATTTCCAGAATTCAGAGGTAAAACTCATGCTTCTCATCCCAATGCATCATGAATCATCTCCTTTCACTTTTTCATTTTAAATTACATTCGGATGAGACACTTAATGGGATGAGATGATGCACACCTGTTGGGAGCACCATAACCAGGGCATTTGACAGTTTAAGACAGTCTGAAAGTGCTGCTGCTTCAGGGGAGCATTTGATACGAGCAGCTTTTGACAGTGGAATGATTTCAGGACTTAGGAAGTCAACAAGTGAAATAATGAAATATCAGGAAAACAAGTAGTAGTGACAAAGTAGGATGACAGAAGTCTTTGCTTTTCAAGTACTGGGCTAAACTCTGCATAAGCCAGCACAGTTAGAGCCCTTTACAAAGAAACATAAGAGCACAGTCACATGATTTTTTATGATGTCCTTCTATCCTGTCTGCAGCTAGGGCCGCAGCTGCAAAGAACTTACAAAAATAGTTAGTGAAGATACTAAAAGGTATTAACAAAGGAGCACCAGAAGACTTCTTACTGCTTTCTACTGATGTTTCCTCTAATTGCAGGATGCATTCTGTTTTTTTTAAACCACTGTCATCCTTGCTAATGGTGTGGATTTGAACCTCCAATACCAATTTGGATAGTGATCACATTGCAGTATTTAATTCTGCTTTACGCTTGCTTGAACAAAGACACAAAAAGCTGCCACCAGATGTGAGAGGTGCAAACAAGTTATGCAAGGCTTCACAGGTGACTCAGCAGGTCCAGCCAAGTAGCTTGCAAACAGGCAGCTGTTTCCATACTGGTGGTATTCTCCTTTCCTCAGCAGGGTCAGGCTGGTTCTTCCACATTTCAGTTAATCCAGTCTTCACTTCTTGAATCTCACCTGGATTAGCAAACACTTGTCCTTGCTCTAAAATGGCAAATTCCAGAACAGCACAGAGCAAGCAATGCTTGCTGCTGCTCTGGGGTGGTCTGCTATAGGAGGATACATTTATTATAAAGATATTTTCAAAGTGATAAAGTGTATGACACTTACTTCATACCATCAGTCAGTCACAAAACGTTTCCTGATCAGAAATCATAATTGTAGTCATCTACTCTCCTGTGCATCCACCTTAAAGTGTTTCAAGGAAAACACTGTCATATAAGGATGTGGTAGAGTGCCCATCATCAAAGGTTTTCAAAATGTGATTGGACAAATTGCTTATTGCTAGATAATCTCACCAAAGATTTCCCACAAAAGGTTGGACCAGATGATCTCTCAAAAGTCCCTTCCAACCTGGGCTGTCCCGTGATTTAATTAGTGGTTGTAGTGGGAAGATATTAAAATTGACTTTGTAGGATCAGTGTTGTAGAAAAGCTACTGAGTATTCCTGGTGGAATTTCTTCACTTGGAATCAAGTTTTACAGGCTTGGGAGTACCCAAGTACAAGATGCCATTTGCTTGGTAGCTTTGTTTCCACATTTCTGTAGTCATCCTCATTTGGTATTGGCATTACTGAGGGTGGCTGCAGGCTTGGGAGTGCCACAAGGATCCACATAGTCTGAGTGAATTCATGTACCTTCTCTGATTTATGCATTACAATAGGCCTATAATTGAATCCCAGAGCTGCACCTTATCCCCCAACAGAAGTAGTATTTAAATTGAAAATCATTATCCAGTTATAGCAATAGCCAGAAGCAGAGACTGTAACATACCTACAAAGCTTTAAGTGAATAAATTTCCTGTAAAACAGGTTAACTCCTGCTTGAAGAAAAGTGGCTTAATGGCAACTTAAAATGGTAGATAATGAAATGTAAAGAAAAGGCTGCATGGGACCAAAGTACTGCTGGGAGAAATGTAGGGAAAACAAATCCCCAAAAACAAATGTGAGAAGCCTAGTCCTAACAGATTGTAATGCGGATTCTGTAAAATACCAACAGTATTTCATGACATTTCAGCCCTTTATTGTCAGAAAAAGTCAGTCTGCAGAATCAATTTGTCCTTAATACCCAAGAGAGGTGGCATACCCTCTTGTTTTTTTACATCACTTTATTTCCTGTCCCAGGAAATTATGTAATGATGGATAAATGCAGCATGTGCAGATCCAAGACAACCTGCAGCTCTAACAATAACATAGAAATTTAAAAAATAGATACTGGTGACTCTGATACCAGTATAATTCAACAATCACAGCACCAAGTCTGGGTGAGACCTGGCTAAAGACTTCTTGCATGCAATTATGTAAAAATTATACTTAAACATCTATCACATCCACCTATCAAGCTAAGCATAAGGACCTGTAACTCACAATTGTAACCACTTCAATTAAAAAGTTTTTGAGTGTATTGCCTTGGTCCTGTGGAAATATTGATGACACTTAATTATGAATGCAAAATCAGTAACAGAGGCATATAATAGGGGTACCGATGGTTCTGAAGCTAAAGAGAAATTCAAGCGTTTAAAGAATGGAATTCAGTTTGTTAACTGAAGTAACCTATTTTGCAATTTCTAATCTAACAGCTTCCTGGTTTTCTCTTAACTCCCCCTTTTGACTTTCTGCATTTTCTGTGTCTCCAACTAGCACCTGGACAGGTGGTATCTCTGCTGCTTTGTGAGCCCAGGAACTGCTCTTAGCAACTCACATCAATTTACAGGCAGTTTGGCACATTCTGCAACTTCTTCCCTGTATCCCCTACTCCCACCTCCACCTTCTCCGAAAGCATTTCAGTTTACAGCAACTAAGCAGTTAAATGTAACAATATTTGCCTAAAATATATCAATATATCCGAAGTTAATGCTGTCCTTTTCAGAGTTTAAGTGTGCTCAGATCCTTCTGTATACCAGAAATTTATGGCTGGAAATTTCAAAAGCAACTCAAGTGTCATCACTAAGATATGACAAAAAAACAATCCAAAGTAATGGCCTTTGAAGATGCTAACTGCAGGAGTTCAGTCAGAAAACATTCGTTCATATGGTCACAGATCAAAGCATTTCATGCTGCTATGAATATGAAATCAGATGACTTCTCACTGTAGTAAGCTGGTTTTCAAATGAGCTCATAAAAAATAGTGAAAAAGCTGACCATGTCCACTTTAGTAGCTGAAAGTACACTTCACTTCAGGAAACAAAAGAATACAAAAATAAGGCATTTAATTGAGAAAAAAAAATGAGTATTTTACAAACATTTTATCTTGCTCAATTCTAGAACCCACAACAATATTAATGAAATCTTACAAGATAACTAATACAGTGTTTATTTAGAAGCAGCATAAATCCAAACAGAGCATAAAATTCCAAAGTGTTTATTGTTACAGTTTAAGTGCATATATTATTTCCTAATTTTGTGCTCTTCCACAGGAACAGACATAGAGCAGCTACACAATTTTCTTTTTTCAGAAAGCTTTTACTACTTTGAAATCTCATCTTTATAATTGGGTAATACAGTCAAGTAGTCCCAGTGATTAATTCCAGATTTATATAAACTAGGTTTCAAAAGAGTAAACTCAGTATGGAAGGTGTTAAAGTTTTTTAATATTCCCATAAAAGGTGAAAAAATAAAAAGTCAATTGCATTAAGACAGGCAATATACACAAAACACTTGTAAAAAAAAACCCCAGATGTTCAATACAAAATATTAATCTATCTCTAACAATTAAAGAAAAAGCTTTTCATAAGTTAAAAATAAGGGTCCATGCTTCTGAATATCAACACTGAGAAGTTATTATGAGGCTATCTCTAAAGTTTAAATACAATCTGTACTGGCTACATTACTTTCACAACTTTTATAAATGAATGATGGAAGACATAATTACCTAACACAGGAGCTTGAGCATCAAAAATTAAATTTCTATTTTTAAATGGTTTATAAGTGTGACTTCGCCCATTTGCTACAAGGGTAACATCTGTAGCTTCTTTAGAGGCCATCATCTCTAAATAGAAGCCCCAAACAAAATGGAAAACATTTCTGCTATTGAGAAATAACTGAACAGTATAGTTTGGTTAGAATGCCAAACACTATGGAACAATTCCATGCTTACAGAAAAAAAACATTCTCTTTCTAAAGAGATGAATATGAATATATAACTGTCATCTTTAATTTTAAATTATTTGTTAAGTACTACAGTATTGACAAATCTTCATAAATATCATTAGTTTTGAAATAAAGATGTCAAAAATGCATAGAAAATTTTATTATTCTTACTGGACAGCTAGTGAGTTTCTACTTTAAATTTATATTTTTGCTTCAAATGTTATGTATGGATCATTTTTATCAAACCTATTCTCAGGGAAGTGGAGATACTATTAGGATAGAGAACAGTCAACAAGGCTGAATTCTCTCTTCCCTGCCCAAATACTTCCACAAAAGACCTTACAAACTGTAGATAATGAGAAACACCAGAATTCACCCACTTCACCCATGTTACCATTGCCTATATAAAGCTGCAGTGTATTTTGTGTCTAGCTTGGAGAATAGCCACAAGGCTCCATCACACTGATTGATGTTGATTAGACTTTTATTTCTAGTTTCTTGCCCTTCCAGATGCTGGACACTGGAGAGAATAGACACCAACACTTCAGCTCCATGAATGGAGGATAAATGAATCAAGTGCTTCACCTCACTTGGCAATGACCTACGTCCTCCTGAGGAGCAGCAAGAGCATTATTGACAAAGCACCTTCCCAAGAGATGCTGATTGTCATGTGAGGTTTACAGCCTTAACAACTTGAGATGGAAAATCCTTCAGCTTCCTGAATGTTTCAGATCCATCTCTTAAAAGAGAGTTCAACTGGAACTCTTTGGAGTCTCTGAGCAAGACTGAACATAAATGAATTGCATGCAGAAAAGCCTAAACCATTTCAACCCCTTGGCCAGAAAAACCATGCTGTGCCTGGTAGCACCAGAGCAATGATTACAGAAGAGAAAAGATTTACGGCATTGTTGTCTAATATAGGTTTTCCAGATATGTGTTTGGAGTCTTTTGTTTCATGGTTAACAACCATGCCAATTGTCTGGTCAAAACCTGGAAAGAGAGAAAATCTTCATTTTACAAAGCCAATCAAGATGAAGAGAAACTTAGTAACCAAGTATTTACACGTTCCTAAATTTATTTTACTATAATAAACAAATCAAAAACTGGAAAAGGACCAACCACCCTTGCTCCTTTTCATTACTATGCCAATTACTTTTGCTCCCTTTGTCCTTCATGCTGCTATTTCTGCATTCTTTCCATTAAAAAATCATATCCTCAGCCCTTCTTGAAGTTCAAATCCAATTTTACATTACATTGGGAGAAAGGGGGAAAAAAAGAAGAAAAAAGAAGACTCTTACCACTGTATTGCATAGTAGCTCCCAAATATGAATCAACAATTGATCCCAGCAGGCCAGCTGCTGCACCAAACACAATAATGGGCCATTGTGGAGCAGATATTTCCAGATCAGTCACAAAAACAAGTTGAGTTATAAAGTAGGCTATACCTACTGTCATACCGCCAAGCAAACTTGAGACCAGGCCCACTAAAGTAACTGCTCCATTAGTACCTAAACCAAATAAAATGTATTTGATTTGCAAACTGGTTTCAAAAGACTTGTATTAATTGAAATATAATCAAAACTGTCCATAGTGATCTTCTCCTCTTACACCCACAAGGCTCTATTACTGCAGCTTTTCACAATTCCCATTATGCTGCTGAGCAGCTTAACCTGTACTGTTACTGCCTGTTCTTACTCCTTTCCAGTCTCTAGGACTAGTTCTCTAGAAATACTACCAGCATTAAATTAAATAAAACTAGACAGCACACCTCTCAATGTCACCTGGTATTTGTCTGCTCTAGGTACTGGTGAGCTAATAAAAGATTTGCTTAAAAAAAACCAGACCTTGAGATGTGCACATTAAAGCAATGCCTTCTTTCAGAAGTAGTATACTAAGATGTGTTTCACCAACACATTTAAAAGATCCAAATCCATAAACAGAGATGTTTGATAGTTCATTGAATAAAAATCTGAAGAATGCACATAAAGAAAACAAAATTCCCAGGCATTTAACTCCTATCCAACAAGATCTGAACCTCTGATCAATTTGCCAGCAAGACTCAAAAAAGGCATACTGCTTTACAGCAGCAGTGACATCCACCATGGAGACAACAATTGACAGACAGAAAGTACACTTTATTCAACCTTGGTAGGATATTAAAGTAAGAGTGATTTAAGAAGCAAAGTAACAGCATCTCTGATGAATATATATGTATTCTACTGATTAAAATAATGCCTGGAAAATATAAGTTGATAATTTGTATTCTTCATATTAGCAACGTAAACTCTTAGCTATTGTCAGAGATTAGAAGTGACAGCATTCAAGATGATTTTAGCTCTGTGGTTGCTATGCTCATGCCTCTCATCAAGAAGATGCAGCAGAAACACAGTTGACTATATTCCATTTCAGAGAATGCATTCTTGGTAACATTTTCTAATCCCACATTTCTGGTACTTGTTTTTCGATGTCTTTCTTGGACCTTTTAAATTTGGATGCGTAATTCAAAACAGATTAACAAAATATTCAGAACATATGGAAGAAGTAACAATTACCTACCTACTGGAACCTGTTGCCAGGTTGTTATCAATCTTGGTTTGTTTTTACTCATAACACTACCAATCTCTGAAGCCCATGTATCACCAGCAGAGCATGCCAAAGCTCCCAAAAGGGATAAGCACATCCATGATGCTGTGTATTCCTTTGAAAAGTCAATAGGAATTTCACCTGGTCCATTTTCTATCATATATAAGAGAGCCAGCTCAGTTGGAACACCACCATTACAGAATACCTGAACCCAATTCCTCTGTCCACCTGAAATATAAAAACTGAATTTTAGTAATTTCAGGCAACAGCATGAGGCAAAAGCAAAATAACACATATATAAAGTTAAATTTTAAAAGACACACATTTAAAACAGAAACTACATGGCAATTCATTAAACAGAACAGAAGCAAAAAGCAAAGTGGCCTGCTAATATTCACAGGGATAGGGTTGAGTGGAGTCTCTACAGTGTTCCCTGTTCTAGAAGTTACATTTCATCTGACCCTTTGAAGGGAACAAGAACGTGCAGCATTTATTCTCCACAAGTTATCTGAAAGAATTAAAGTATTTTCGCTTACCTTCTTTGTATTCTGAATCTATTTGCTTCTTTATATCCTTTTTCCACTTAGTAAGTTTCGAAGAAGTAACAAAAAATACAAACAAAGAAGAGAAGAAACTGTAATTTGCGACTGTAAGGATAAATCCAACCACCAGCCCTATGAAGGAAAAAGAAGTACATAAACTTCCTTCATGTTAACAATGGTTGCTTTGCAAAGCAAGTAAGTATTTCAAGTTTTCTGAACATGAAAAGTATCTTCCTGATAAACCTAAGACAATCATGCAATAAGAGAGTCTATTGCCAAATTACTAATTTCATTGTAACTGCTGAAGCATGTGATTTTTAAGACCCTTTGCCACAAATCAGTAACACTATGTGAAAATAAAGAGAAGCAGTAAGATCCCCAGTATCCAAAGAATATATAATTGAAATCCAAGTACTCTGCCTGAAGAATATTATTATTTTTATAAGGAACTGATATATAGCTGTGGCTGTGCCTCTATCAGCAAGTTTATCATCAGCCTGGGCATCAAATTGCACATCCAAAGTCTCTAAGATAACCTGTAAAACCCTTCTGCATATCTTAGCAGATGCTACTTCTCTATTAATTTCTTTCCTTTCTTTTTTATTTTTATTCTACCTCTTTATTTATGTAAATTTAGTTTTTTGAAAGCATTTGATCTCCTTGATTAAATTGCAATTCTTTTTTTACATCCCCTTTCACAGGGGAGGCCTAATTTCACTCCTCACCATGAGATTACAATTCTAGAAGACTGAAAGAAAAACGGGTGCATTTAAGAGAAAATGCCGGTATAAACTGGCTAGCAGAGCTGTTCAGAAGTCAGAACACAAAAGTCAGAAAGATTTTTGTCAGTGTAGAAAATGCTTCCCTTAACTCTCACAGACAGAAGATTTACAAAATGGGTGACATGGGAAGGAAGGATTTGAGGCCCTGTTTTACTCCAGTGATTCAGACAATGTCACAAGAGAAGGTGAATCACCTCACCCAGTAATGTTGCATCAGATTTCAATAAACTCTATTGTACGCTGTGCTGGGCATTTTATCATGTGGTCTAGAAAAACTTTCCAGAAACAGTCATTTGTTCTTAGTGAAGTACAGATTTAATTATCTTATTTTTGTCATGCCAAAAAATGCCTAGAACTGCTTCTATTACAGAAAGGAGAACCATACAGAAAGTAGAACTGATTTCCTACCAAGCAGGAAGGCTGCCGACACAACCAGTCTAGGGTCTTTCTTTACCACTACCTCTGCCATTTCTTTGTTTCTCTCTGAATCCTTCTATATGGTAAACCAAACCATGTGATTTAACTGCATACTGTACTGAAGTTTAAAAGGATCTTCTAGCTTTATATAAATATAATAATATTAATCAAATCAATTACAAACAGTAGCACAGGATTAACCTGGCTGTTGGAACAGGCATGAAAAAAAAACAACCCAGCATGAATTTTGGGTATGTCTGCTTACATTTATACTTTATTATAACAGAACTAGATAATGTCTTAAACTGAAAACAGTAAAAAGGACCTTCAGTTTACTAAAAGTTTAGTTTAAGTCTCAGAAAAGCCATACCTCCCAATGCACCACTGTGATCAAGACTCTTCTTCTTAAAACCCTGTGTAGCAATAATTAGTGGGACCAAGACTGAAAAAAGCCAGCGCCATGGGGAAATGGGTCGTAAAGTACCTGATAAAGCAAATAACAGGGTTACAGATAATCTTCATAAAGCTTTTTTATGACCTCATGTCTGAAAAGTCATTATTTCCTGGTATATACTTAAATTTCTTAATAGAGATTAAAACTTTTTATCCTTCAGAAGAAAGATATTTATGTGGACAGAAGGACAATATATCTGCAATTATCTACTCAATTTTTCTATTCAGCTATCAAAAGAGAATATATTTCATGAACTAAAATTAATTACCAAAAAAGAGCAAAATATGACAAGAAATAAATATGGTGATATTTTTCATTCTAAAAGGGAGACATGAACTTCAAAGTCCAACATCTGAATTGACTGTTACAAAACTCCACTACCAAAAGAAGCCAATCAAGACAGTCTGCTTGGTGAAAGTGAAAGTAGTGAGATCATTTTATGAAACATTGTCCCTTTCAGTTCTTCTGACCTTGATGTAAGGCTTTTTGAAATATACTTTGAGCTGATGACTATCTCGGCAAGATTTGAAGTGACAGTTTTAGTTTGAAAAAGCCACAAACTTCTAAAAGCTAAAGCCAATAGTTAACGTAGGTTTTGAAATGAAAAAAAAATCTTGAGAAGTTATTTATTAGATCTCCTATACAAATACAAGACATCACAAATCTTGCATTAAAGTAAGTCTTGATCTTGTAAAAGAAAGATTTCACACAGGCACAGAGGCTTGTCTTGCTGCAAAGATAATCATGATGGTTTTCAACACGAACTTTGTGTCATCAGTACCCCAACCTTTGCATAAACACAGGCTCCCTGGTGCAAAGCAGGACAAACACGTCTGTGAAATCACAGTAAAACACACATTGCAACATAAAGACTGACAAGAAAACAATTCTATTCTGTGTACTGAAAAGCCCCAAAGCCATGGTAGATGAGCAAGGGGGTCTTGCAGCCCAGGGCTGAGTCAGAAATTCAGAAGACAAGCACCAGCTGTGTATGAAGAGCCCTCCAGTGCTGTAGCCTGGTATTGCTTACCACAAACTAAGGCAGCTCTTGGTGCAAACTTGAGTGTAAGCAGTACTGGAACAAAAAGGGGTTCCTTTTGCTTGGCTAACAAACAGAATTTTCATCTCTTCAAGGTCATTTCTAAACTAGCCATTTTGTATTTCCTTGTGGGAGAGAAAAGTATTTGCATTAAATTACTACTAAATGTAAGCAGGTAAGACTAAGCATCTATAATAAAACAACAAATATGTTCTTTGACACTCTGGCTTCACTAACATCTGGCCCACTGTTTGGTGCTTAAGAATTACTGTAAACTATACATTAATAAAAGTATATTTGCAGCATTTTAATATTTATATTAAGGACTGTGAATTTAACTGCTTTCATAGGCTGAACCATTTTAAGTCCATTAATTACTATATGCTTCATTCACCTCCTTAAAAAGCCAAGGTCTTTCCACAGTCTCAGGTAAATGAACAACAGAAGTTTTACATCCTTCTTGTTCCATAACCATTGCCTACAAAAAGAAGGATTTGTCCAGTCTTCTCCTTTCTACCAGGCCTGATTCACCTGATACCAGGTCTCTCCACACTATACTGTAAATTCCCACTCACATAAGAGAACAAGGACTAGAATATCCTAATTGTCAGAAAAGCTATACCTTTAGAGATCAGACACATAAATGAAGTTGCATGTTTAATCCAACTTGGGTAGCTACAAATGACACAAATAAAAGCTGTTTGTGAAGCCTGTTTCTGCATACATTCTACATGTCTGGTATCTCACTACAAGCCAAAGTAGAAGTATCCAGACAATACACATTTAATGCTGTACCAGAACTAACCTATCCTAAAACCTGAAGCACTGAAAAACACTGAGCAGAGACATGCAACTGCCTCTACAAATGTCAGCTTATACTGGTGGGGTGTTTATTATAGCTGGATCCAGGGAGACACTAGGGAGTTGAAGGTGTTTAGGCTGCATCCCTAGGCACTTTCAGCAATACTGCAGTGACACTGGAGCTCTTCCTGCATCAAACTGGCTGGGGTCTGAATGATAAGTCACTACCTGTCTTGGAAAAGCAGTTAAATTCTTCTAGGCTTAAACTTATACTGCAGGCAGTATTAGCTGCCTTTGCACATTGCTGTAAGAACGGTCTTAGAGCCAAAAAGAGTGACTACAGAGAGGACTTGTGCTCCTACAACTACACACAGCTAAGTCACAGCCAGCCTGAGCTGTCTGAGCAGAATGCTGAGCTGACAGTACATACCTCAGCCAGCCACTCCATGCATACATCCCTATCTTCTTATACCATCTCCTGTTTCTCAGTTCCTCGACTAAGGAAGTCTTCCTGCACGCTGCAGATGTCACTGATTCCTAAAACAGTTTTGAAAGCTGCCGCATTCGTCCCGTGCTGTCACGTACTTTCCCTACTATAGAAAGGCCTCAGTTAGCTCGGTCTTTCTTTTCACCTCTTAATTTTTATTTGCGTTCTTTTGGGGAAAGAAATCAAAAAGGACACCAACATTTTAAATTGTACGTGATCCCTGGGCGGGGCTGCATGTAAGCGGCTGTCAGCATCTTCTAAACCACTCTCACCTACTGGAAGAGGTGAGGTTATCAGCTCTACTGACGAAAGAAGGGGCTGGGCACATCCCTCTTCCCATTTTCTGTCTCCTGCCTAGAAAGGCCGGAGGGGAAGGTTCGCCCGTGGCCGTGCCATGCCAGCCTCTCCCGACCTTTCGACTCACCGTAGTACGTACTTGCAGTCATGGACACGATCCAGAACGCTAACGAAATACAAATGAGCAAGTTCAGGATGACCATATTCGCCATCATTTTGAGGTAGTCTCTGAAGAAATCCTCCTGGTAATAGGACATGGGAAGCAAGAAAGACAACACCTGATGGGAAAACACAAGGCGCAGGGCATCAGCGACACCGCCACCGCCTCCTTCTCTTTCTCCCCCCGCCCGGCCGGAGCCGCGGCCGCGCCCGG